ACCTCTCGCTCTCTCTCTCTCACACACACACACACACACACACACACACACACACACACACACGGTGAGAATAACTGAGAATGTGATTCAAGGTGATTAGCTGTCCTTATATAAATATATTGTATATTAGGTCTTGGAAATTACTCAGTTGTCAGCACAGGCCTCCAAGTCAACTCAGTTTTCAATTGTTTTTCTTTGTCCATTCAGACAAAATAAATAAAAAAGTAATCCTCTATACAATGATAGTTTCTCTTTCCCTCCCCCTCATTTCTACCTTTATCATTTGTGTAGTGTCATGGAAAGGTACTCTCATGATTCTAATCAAAAGCATCTGATTTATAATCAAATATTAACATACATTTGCGAGACTAATTCATAATACTGACAGATACCAAAGAGGAACTGTCCAATTCCAAATCGTGACAACATTCAAAGTAAAGAAAACAAAAACCAACCAGAAGATCCTAAATCTTGTGCTTCTTTCCAAACAAGTTTCAAACACCCATTATATTTTGTGGATGTTTGCACACTCAAAAGTTAGGTGGATGGGGTATGGCCGGCAGCCATGTCATTTTGCTATGATCTTGTCAGATTTCATGAACTAAGCATAATTAGACTAGGTCTAAATTTGGAAGGAGGTCTCAAAAGACCATTTAGCTGGTTTATCTGGATCCTAGGAAATAGCACTATCAAATTGACACAAGATATTTTTCTGAATCAGCACTGAGCCAAAACACCCAGCATGGTCAAAGAGCACCATACCACAAATGGTGACTTCTTTCAAAGGAAATATAGAACCTAAGTTCTGTCCACTTGTGGTTATTATAGATCCTAGGGTGCTTTCTTGCCAGATTACAACTCAGGTATTATATTCTGCCTACTTACTACCCCCAGGCACTTTCACAGTTGTATACCGCATTCTTTACTTACTATCAAACTACCATGAGGTATTGCCACATACTATTTACGTTGTTAGAACAGCATACTCTGCACCAGAGATCCTTATATTGTGACTTTAATTACTAATACTCCCACAGTAAAGTGCTTTGAAGTACTCAGAGGGAAGATACTGTAGAAGTACAGAATCTTATCACAATGTTTTTTGTTGGTGGTGGTTTTTTTAAATTTTTGTTTTGTTTTGTTTTGTGTCCATTAGGTTTCAGTCACCAGGAACAAGAGGGAAGGAAACCCTGTTTTTATACAGTTTCTCGGCAAATTCATGAAAGCCAGCCTGGAATAATTTTAAAACCTCTACATGCTAAATTAGGTGAAAGATCAGAAATGGGTTCCAAAGATGAAAGATTCCTAATACAACCTGAGTTCTTATTAGCAATGATCTTGAATATTCCAGTTTGATTAATTCTCACTTTCTTAATGATTAAGATCAGGAAACATGGGGACAAAACAGTAATTCCTTTTATTTGACAAGACAACCAAGCTTTGTAGAAGAATACTATGAAGACCAGTGAAAGCACAGATACTTCCAGCTTTTTTACACTCTGGATGCATTCTGATCTAGCACTCACTGTGATTTTAAGACCAAACCATTGCAGAGGTTTGGTTCTTCAAGATGTCATAGCTTATGATACTGGTGAAAGGCCCAGCAAACTGTTTTTTGTTACCAATAATATCAACTAGATCTCTGTGAAAAGAGACTATCAACCAGCTACAAACTGAAAATTTGGAACACAATGTTATCTTTGGATCCCGTCTATAGGTAAAAGAAAATGGACAGTATTATATAGCAAGGCTAAGAAGGAGGCTGTTCTGTTAAGGCATTTTTAGGACCAAAAAGAAGAGGCAAAAGACATGGAAATAAAAAGTCTAGGGGCCTGGCACTGTTTTATATCTCAAGAAACCGCATGTTGTAGCCAGAAGTGGGAAAGAAACATGGATAAATACAGTAGGGTCAGAATTCTACATTTTAAAGGGTAAACTATTTGTACTGCCAAATGTTAATGATTTTAAAAGACATTTCATTACTACATATACAGAATGCAAATATTCATCTGAAATGTAATTCTCAGCACTTGTCCATTAGAGGAGAAAATAAGCTACTTAAAATACTTGTTTAAGTCAGGGGCACGTCAGATCATAAAAATCAAGACATAGTGAACTAAATAGTGATAAGGGAGCTCTGTAGCAGTAATGATTGCAAGTGCTCACTCATTAAACAAAAGTTGATTACATGACCAATCATATACTCAAAAGAAATTTTCATTAATTAAATTAAGCACAATGTGTGCATGCCACTGTACTTCCAATTTAGTGCTCATCAGTAATTTGTAAAGCAAGAAACAAGTGACGTTAGGTGATTTATCAATATTGTCAGACTGTAAAACCTACTAGAGAAAATCTGTTTTAAAAAACTTGTATTACAATTTGAAAAGGCCTGGACATTTCTTTTTCAGATGTATCTGAACAAGCCCAGAGAAGAAATGTTGAGTCATCTATAGCAATGGCTGGGGAGGGAAGAAGAAATAAGGTACTTCAATAAAGCTGTGAAAATGGTCACCACCTACTATAAAGAACACAAAGATGACCCCACACCCCAATCCACCCAGGAATTTAAGGATATCATCAAATCCTTCCCCAAAACAACTCCAAGAGAAACTCCACAACCTCATCCCCCACAAACTGACCCCACTCTTCCTGAGCTGGTCCTTGAGACTGCCACCCTCTAAGGAGAAATCCCTACTATCAGGCCTACAAGAAACTAGCTGACAGACATCTAGTTATATCAGTTATTTATCTTATCACTGGACTGCTCCTTTATGTGGAGGGAAGAGATTTACAGATGGGAGAAAGGGGTGTGTACGATCACTGGAATTACAATAAGGGGAGGATAAGTAGGGAAGAGAGAAAAAGGGAGGGGAATTTAGTGAGTTTGAACACACACATGTAATTAAAAAATGTGTACCTGTTACTACCCTGATCACTTTGCTTGTAATTCTTTCCCACAACCTCTCATTTATGTTTGTGTATTTGTAGACTGTACACTCTTTGGGAGAGGAACTGGATTTCCAAACACACAGGAAGATAATCTACCCATCTGTCGGTGCTACAGCAATCTAAATAATGAATACTAATAGAATGGAGATTGCCCTAAAAATAGTGTAAAAAGTTTGTTTGGTCATCTGATTTGATGACACAGGTGGCACAAAACAGAAGGCAGAAAAAAATGTCCCCTTCTTAAATAACTATGGAAGAGGAAGGTGAGAAAGGTCCTTGTGCCCTTAAGTAGAAAAAGAGAATCATTTAGAGATAACTCCAAGTCTAGCGGTCTCTACAGGAAATTATGAGCTACAACTGGTATATATCATGGGGAAAAAAGGAAATATGGGATTCCTATACTAGTGTCATGTCTCCAGGATGGCTGAAATCCTCTTTACTTTTCAGTGTGGGACTCATCCTTTCAAGAATCATGAGGACATGTCATTGACCAGAAAGGCTTCTGGTAGGGCTGTCAAATTATTTAAAAAAAAAATTGCAATTAACTGCGAGATAAAAAAAAAAGTACTTAAAATCAGAATGCTCTTTTCTTCCTCTGCTTTGAGAGCTATTATCTGATGACATCCACATCAGAGAAGATTTTCAGCCCTAGGGACCACAGGGTTTGAGGAGGGACACATGGATTTCTCCATCAGAAATATTTTCAAGCGTGCCTCCTAGCTTTTTAAGTTGTCTTTGAGAACAACTTAAGTACCTGACACAAAAGGCATCTGGTGTATCCATCATTAAGAGGCATTACTGCCTTGCAGGTGGGACATATTTTGAATCCTGGAGACTTTGGTGAACACAGTACTGGACTATCTCTGGGGGAACCATTCTCAAGATCAGGGAATAAATAAAAAAGGGGAAGGAAAATGGTAAATCTACACTAATTTTATCACTAACTATTGGTGATAAGGCCACACAGTGAACAAAGAGGTTTGGACACTGCAGAGTTCCTACCTGAAGCCATGGGTGATGAGAAGGACCTGAGAGACAGTTAGCATCACCTCGCCATTTATGCCCTGAGCTGGGAGCACAGGGACGCTCAGGGCTCCCAGTGGACATGGCTGGCCAATAGAATCCAAACTCACACGACAACAGAATATATGTGTACAAGCATTTGAAGAAGAATCATCAATGTTGCCCAAGTTAAGTTTCTTGGGGTACGTCCAGACTACCTGCCGTATCGGCGGGTGGGGATCGATATATCGCGTCTCTTTAAGACGTGATATATCGATCCCCGAATGCGCTCCCCATCGACTCCGGAACTCCACCTAAGCGAGCGGCGGTAGCAGAGTTGATGGGGGAGCCGCGGCCGTCGATCCCGCACCATGAGGACCCAAGGTAAATCGATCTAAGATACTTTGACTTCAGCTACACTATTCACGTAGCTGAAGTTGCGTATCTTAGATCGATCCCCACCCCAGTGTAGACCAGCCCTTGGTGACAAAAATAATTTTTAGTTGCATCTACAACCATGGTAACCAAGGGTATTGATGACTAAGCTTGGAAGCAGAAGGTCCTTATAAACTTTTAAAACTTCTCTAGTAATTTAAATATTTCAAAGTACCTGTTTTGTTCTCCTGAACATTGGGGATGGGCTGTTGGGACTACTGGCTTTTGAAGACAGTTTATTATTTGGTGTAGTCAGGAACCCCTCAGGTTGGTCAAACAAATCTAGTTTCAGCACAGGAAATCCATTATAGCTAAAAAAGAAAAATATGCCATAATCTGACCTTTATAACACAGTTTCAATCAGAAGTCTAAGAATGTCAGTGGATAAAAGCAGTCATACTTTCCTCAGGTAAGATGAACAAAGGTTTTTACGGAAAGTTCTGGATGACTTGCATAAACACGCAAGCTCTTAACTTGTTTCATCCACTTAACCAATTTTGATTCTTAAGTAACAGTTTTTCTTTATTAGTATTCCAATAAATTAGCACAAGTCAAATGCATTAGTATTGACTGTACTTAGTAGAAGAAACTCATGTGCTGATTTAGTCTCTAATGAACCAAGCAGAACACAGAGGCCCATAAAAATCAATATATGCACTACAAACCCATCTGAAAGATAAAATTAGATTACTAAAAGTCCATTTTAATTGAGCAATGTAACAAACAAATTAATAACATCAGTTTTCACCCAAGGGCCTGATTCTGAGAGATACAGTGTCGCCTGCAAAGAAATAAGCATCCTCAGCTTGTACTGAAATCAATGGGAGCTGATGGACGCTATTTTACAAGAGGTCTTCTGTAAATTGCAGACTCCGACCCTGAATGTTCAGTTTTAAAATTTAGATATCAATATTAACAGACAGCCTGACTAAAATTAAAATACTGAATAAAGTAATTTGATGTCCACACAAATAAGTCATTAAAGCTTCAATTCAGTTGGCACAGCAGGCTTTTCACATGTAAGCTTTTTTACAGAATGAAAAATTGTGGGACTGGAAAAGTTGTATTCTATAGCTATCACAATACAGCTCTATACATTAGCTGTACAAAGGCAACAGGGCACTTTTTTGTTGTTTGCAAGTATTTTAGGCTGTTCCCTTGAGTACCTGTACTGCAAAGGGTGCTCTTCGCCATTAGGTAGGTGAGGGATCTCAGGTGGTGTTATGAAAACTGTGTGTTCACTCTTGTAGGACTCATCCAGCTCTATAAGCCGTGTTTCACCACTCTTGTCCATATCTACCTGCAGAAATTTAATTACAAGAACAGTGTGTGTCAAAGTTATATTTGGTTACAGGAAATTAACGTAAGTCTATTGCACAGCACAGGCAAACAGTATGAAATGTTAGCATCAAAGGGTTGTATTTGGGAGCTAGGAACTCCTGGCAAGGTGATGATTGAGAGGCACAGTTGTTGGGGGGAGGTTAAATGAGGACTAGCTAGGTCATGTTGATGCGCCTTTTTGCTAAAGCCTTTTTCCAGTCTAAATGTATGTGACAGCCCCCAAACCAGGGAAGGAATGCTGCTAAGAAAACACCTTTTGACACTTGAAGTGCTAAAAATAGTTACAAACAAACCATCCAACACCGACCTGATGGTCACCTTTGAGATAGCCATCTCAGAACATTTATCTGTTTAGTGACAAATTTATTTTTCATTAATATAATAAGCTCATAGCCATTTTGTATCCTCATGGATCCCTTTAGCTGTCCAGAGCAGTTGGTTTTGTGAGGAACACCATCTTTCAGAGGTAAGCCACTCAAAACTTGTGTGCAAACAGAAGAAATTGCTTCAATTTAATTTTCCAATATGAAAATTTACAGCTATTCTTCTATTCCAACTTGATCGCTAACTGGACTAGTAACAGAAACCTGATCCAAATAGTGTAATTTAGTGAGAACAGACAGCTCTGCACAGCAATTTTAGTTCCTTACATAGTAATTAACTTCTGTAATTGATATAAACTAGCAAATCTTTGTCTGCTTAGCGTACACATATTTAAAGAGATGCCAGATTTAAGGCATCTGACCTATCCAAAGTAACGGATGTTGCTCAAACTTTCTGCTCCTTGTTAGACAGGAAGAAATGGACTCATTGTAACATTCAATTAGGCAAAACAAGAGTCGCTGTTTTCCTCAAGAACCAAAAGGAAGCAGAGGTGGCTTAGCAATATTACTGAAAGCTTTTCTTTCCATTCCTTGAGCCACAGAAACATTCTTACAAGGAAGTGTGGTTGTTCCACTGGAGAGAAGAGAAGAAGAATAAAAAAAAGAATTTTTACCACATACCAACAGATCTTCTTGGCATTACAGTTTGAATCGTTTGTGTGCGTCAGCAGCAGTTGTGCTGGAAACTGTAGAATTTCAGATGGTTCTCAAAACAAGCTACTCAATTACTATCTCTCACCCGGGACACATTTTATTAGCCCAACACCAACATTTAAATTACATGAATGGCTGTGTGGCTGTGAAACGAACTACTGCGATAAGAACAAGAAGGGGACTAGTCATGCCATATACCTTCATCATGTATGTCAAGTATATGGCAGGCTCCCTTGGCTGTAAGACAATGTATTGGATTTTTACCCTCAGTCTTTTCTCCTTCAAAGACAGTGATTGAGCACATACCTAAACTTAGCCTCCTACTGTGTGAGCTTTCAGCTGCTTTTAACAAGCTTATTACACAAACCGGATCTGTAGGACGATATATACTTTTCCTTTAAACATGCATTTCTCTATGAATACTGCACAAGAAGGATGGTAAATCTATCCACTTCAAGGAGAGACAAAAGCTTCATTAAGTCACTATGCCTGACTTTCAGGTGCGCTCGGCACCCCCAACTCCCATTACAGTCAATGGGAGCTACAGATGCTCAGCAGCACCTCTGAAATTCATACCGTTTGCAGTCAGGATCCTAATGGCCAAGTGCGTTGTGTTTACACAAAACACCACAGAACGTTGAAAGGGAAACTGGAAGAAATACACTGGGGATAAAAGTACCAACAACTCATCTGAAATGAGTCTGACTGCACTTTGAAGGCATAACACCAGCAACTAATAAACTGTAACACTTACAAAGTCTTCAATCCTATCACTAGGGCCCTAACAAATTCACGGTCCATTTTGGTCAATTTTACATTCATAGGATTTTTAAAAATTGTAAAATTTCATGATTTCAGGTATTTAAATCTGAAATTTCAGGGTGTTGTTAACTGTAGGGGTCCTGACCCAAAATGGGACTTTAGGGGGGGTGGGCTTCACAAGGTTATTGTAGGTAGGTCAAAGTATTGCCACTCTTACTTCTGTGATGCTGCCTTCAGAGCTGGGACCTCAGCCAGCAGCTGCCATTCTCCAGCCACCCAGTTCCAAAGGCAGCAGCACAGAAGTAAGGGTGGCCTGGTAGGGTATTGCCACCTTTACTTCCGGGCTGCTGCTGGTAGGGTGCTGCCTTCCGAGCTGGGCGCCTGGCCAGCAGCTGCCGTTCTCTGGCCACCTAACTCAGAAGGCAGCGCAGAAGTAAGGGTGGCAATACAGTGAGCCCCCCTACAATAACCTTGCAACCCCCTTGATACCCCATTTTGGGTCAGGACCCCCAGTTTGAGAAACACTGGTCTTCCCCATGAAATCTGTATAGTATAGGGTAAAATTATACAGAAGACCAGATTTCACAGGGGGAGACCAGATTTCATGCGTTTTTCACGGCTGTGAATTTGGTAGGGCCCTACCTATCACAGACATAGAAGGGAACTGCACTTTTACTGTGTTTGGATGGCAAACTCTCTCTTGCAAGAAACGCTGACTGGTCAGATCAACAACCTCTGCTACTGTCTCTTTTGTAAAAATTCGTTACCCTGGCTTTCTGTCCTTGCTAACTTTTTTTTTTTTTTTGTTGGTAACGTGATGCACCTCTCCAACATCAATGAACTGACATTAGGGGGAAGTCAGCCTCCTTCCTAGGACATCGAAAATGCTCAATTTTTGCAGCTGCTGTGTTCAACTCAGATACCATGACACCTACTTCACATTCAATGCAATGATCTAAAAATGTGCTCTTGCTCTCTTTTGGAAGAGTAAACGTCATCGCCTTCCAGCCCACTTTAAGCATCATCATATCAGAAATTGCAAGGGCACGTTATCTAATCCGGATTCAGAGCTGTACTTGGCTGAAACAAAGTGCAAATGTTTTTCTCCGTTAACTCCCCTAAAAAAGGAATCTCAAGTTTAAACATGTATCAACAGCAGCTGGTTGCACTATGCTTATACAGATTTTAAATAAATAAAACCTGCACTAAAATTCAGGACGATTCACACTAATTATAATTAATATATTTTAAAAGTACATTTAAAGCTAAAAATGTAGTGCTGGTCAAAAGTGCCAAACTGAAGAGCCTACAGACTGAAGTCTTCTGTTTATGCACACAAGCATACCATGAGCAGCAGCAGTATAGGCTTCCCTAAGCTGCTGCATGCCTGACCTCGAGGGACCTCTCCAAGGGATGAGTAGGCAGTCTATTCTCTGCAAGGAAGCTAATGAGTCAATAGGAATGGAGACTGAACAGGTAATATGTCCCCTAGAAACTGGACTCAGATACTATTCTGATGAATTTACAATTTGGTACGGTTTTTGTCTTCCTATATATTGTGGTCAACACCATAATACCAATAAAACAACTTACTGAGTCACTTCACGCAGGCTGTCAATTACTAGCCTGAGCTAGATTTCAACTGGAGATCACTGAAACAAACAATTTGTCCATGCATCCTGCAAGTCAAAACTCCTTGTACCATCCTAAACATACAACACTAGGAAAATGATACGCTCTGAACCCGGGCTTTTTTTGTGCTAAACTGTCACTGACTACAATGCCTGTTTTTTAAAAGCTTAGCAAAAGGCATTTTTTCTATAGAAAAATACTTGGCTGAACTTAAACTATGAAACCTACAAATTGACACTGTCGATTCCTGGAAGTCTGTACATGTAGATTCAGGTACAGAAAAAGCTGATTACTCCAGCAACATAAAATTGAAATAATTTCACAGTTTCTCTCTTTACTGTGTAACAGATACATATATAATATAGTTTCGAAAGGATCCTTGAAAACATTTAAAATTTGATAAAACAGCTTTTTTGGTACTTAGAGATGCTCTTAATTATGCATTTTACTGCATGAGACAGATTGAGAGGATTAGCTATTTAATCATGTGAACAGCAATAACATATGGCTCTTTAAAAAGCAGAAATAAACTTTACTTGATAATTTAAAATCTTTAGAAATATTTAAAGAAACCACAGAAACAAGTTTTTATTTTTGGTTTCAGCAATGAAGTATGTTAAACGCAGTAATTTATATGGATTGAAGTATTTCTGAATTGTTTCAGGAAAAATGAGATCTTGTGAAACAATTTAGCAATGTCTAAGGCCCTACTTGAATTGTGAGATAATAGTCAAAAATTGCAGCTGAGTTGCGGACAAGCCAAGGAAAATTCCGGAAAAATAATAATGGACCTTATTATTTGTGGTAATAAAGTTCATTATTACTTTTCTGTGAATTTCTGCTGTTGGCTGCCTGGGGCTGAGAGTGGGGTCTTCTGCGGTTGGCTGCGTGGGACTCCCACTGTCAACCCTGCACATATTGGGGCTCCCATTGTCAAAAGTGCAGTGGAAGCCTAATATAGTGGAATTCATAATTTCCACAATATTGCAAGTTAAGTAGCAATGTCCTTTTAGTATACAAAATAGATAATCCATAAAGAACTGCTTCTGTGTAGGGGAAATTGAGATGAATAAGAGACTATGCCTTGACTTGAGATGCTCCCATGGTGGGGGTTTGGAACAGGGCCATCATACTGGTTCCAGTTGTACATACCATAAAATTGGTTATCTTAAAGATGAACAAGATGGTGGTAGGCAACCTCATCATTCAGTTGTGTTCAAAGACAACCACACAGGTACCTTTGTACTGTTCCAGCCATGGACAGATGGACAATATAAATATCTGGTTATCGGATGGGAAGGAGAAGAATAACCCAGCTAACTGTTGATTTTCCTATAGTATAGTTCTTGCATTTTTAATTTTAGTAAGCCTTATATCATAAACCCAAAACCAATATCAGGGGTACAGGGGCCCAGGAATACAGTGTAAAAGGTCCTTACTATTGCTCTGAAGTTGAAGAAATCCCTTTGTGAGGATCTAGTCATCCTATTGAGAAAGGTCTGGCTGGGGGAAATTACTCCATGGAGATCAGCAAATCCTAGGTGCGTAATACAATTTTTCTGTGCCTCAGTTTCCCTATCTTTAGAAGTAGCTGCCCACTTTTGTAAAGTTCATGGAGATTCTTGGACAAAAAACGCAATGCAAGGATTATAAAGCACTGTGTAAGACTTTTATTCTCACAACATCCTGATGAGACAGTAAGTATTATCCTAATGTTAGAGATTGGAAACAGACGTACTGTAGACAGGTTGCCCACAGAATGAAGCAGAGAAAGAACTAGGACAGGAATAAATGAGTTCCAGGCTCCCAGCCTTATACTCAAACACACTGATTTTTATTTTATTTTCTAAAAGTAGAACCTCTTGCTTTGTCTTAAGACCTGCATAGACTATTTGCTGATTGTATAGTGGCAGCATCAACGTAAGAGTTCCTCCTTCAGAGTATTGTTTGAACTCCCAGAACAAAGAATAATTTTAGCTAAGACACTGATTTATATGCACACTGAAACCATTCAATAAAATAAAATGAAATGTAACAGAGTGAACTTGGCATTTGTATAATCATCTCATTTTGAATAAAAGCCCTATTTAACATTAGACACACAATTAGTCCGCACTGCAATGAGATCTGAATGCTGCTCAGCAGCGTTAGTCACTAGAGTACATTCTTGTCTGTCTGCAATTTTCCTTTCTTAAAAAGTTTAACATGGGTCACATGCTTCACTAGGAAGCCGTTAAAGATTTTTGCTGTTAAATTGTGAAGATATCTTGAATGTTTAACATAAATGTTTAATTAAATCAATCCCTGGTCTACAAACATGTACAATTATGCTTTCTTTTATTAATTTGTTTTTGAAAACTGACCTAAGGCTGGAAAAGCAGAAAAGGAGAATTATGCAAAATTACAACACTTTATAAAATACCAATCAAATTTTTCCACACAATAAGTCAGAGCTGTTCTCAGATTTTTTTTTTCAAAGTACGGATTCTTCAGTCAGACTTTCCTGTGCTTTGCCCCCTAACAAGTAACTATTCTAATAATCTTCAACATTAATTCCCATGGAACAAACAGCAGGTGACCTACTTTACAGGAAATCCTAGACAACAGCATGCATTGCTTATACATCAATGTCCCAGAACAGAATGTTCCAGGTACCTAGCAAGACAACAAGCAGGTCTTATATTTCCGACAATATTAACAGGAACTTTTTGTTACAGGACACTATGGCCAAATAATATTAAAAATTGTGGGTTGCAATTTAATCCTTCCTAAACAGATACACACTCTTCTAGCATAATGCAGAAAATAAGAGGTCAACTGTTCAGTCAGGATCAAGCCAATTTTGCCCACCCACTTTAGCACATGGAACTAACTTCATCAGTAAAAGCGCGTACATAAGTGTTTTGCCTGTACCAAAGCCATAACATGGCAATTGAATGCATGTGCACTATTTTGGGAACTGTCAACCGTATGCACTAAAACAGAGATTGGGCTTAATGTCTGGGTGGCACTTAGGCTAAACAAATTTACTTCTGCAAATGACGCAGTAAACTTGAACCTACTTTGACATGGGAAGTTCAGCATTCTGGCTGTAAAACGACCTGCCACTATGAGCCAAATCCAGCAAAGCATTCAGACCTTCTCCAAAAAGCTAACCTTAGGGCTTGTCTACATGGGGAACTCAGAAAAATGACTCTAAATTAACTAAAAGTGTGAATTTAAAGTGGATTGATTAAACCACATTAAATATCTAATTCTGAATAAGAGTGTCCACATAAAGTAGCCTTTAATTCACTTTGGAAACAAATTAAGATGAACTGAATTAAGGCTACTTTAATTCTGAATAAGAATTTTCACGTAGGGGCTTAATGTGGTTTAACTAATCCACTTTAAATTAATAATTTGAGTTGATTTGGATTAAAATAGAAATTAGAAAAGCAAAGGAAACAGCACGTATTTCACGAACAAGTAGGATAATGGTTACAGAAGTTCTACAACAATTATCTTTTAAAAACTAGCAATTGTTATGAAATGTCTCTATTATGGTCAATAGCTACTGGTCAATAACCTGCTGAAAGACACCACTCACAATCCTGGAGAACTCCCACATGCCCTTGACAGAATTATCTTTTCTCTTCTGTGTGTGTTAGAGATATGGGAACAGCCTGGCAATAAGAAACTACAGCAGCAGAGAGCATTCCATTAAATGCAGCATGAAGCCATGATGCTAAATTAATGCTACTCACAAAAGTCTCATAAGAAAACTTGATAAAGATTTTTCAAAATATATAATAATAATGTATTGTGCTAGCTGAAGAATTCCATTCAAGATATCCAAGACATTTGATAGCAAGCCTATTAAGAAATATCCACAGGTAAAAGTAGAATATTAATAAAAGAATTAGATATAAAACAGCTACAACAGGAAGGAGGCCTATGATTTATGGGAACCATATATAATTGTTATTGCCTAGGAGTATAAAGAATAAAGATACAGATAAATGTTCTCATTATACATCAGAGGGTCTGTACTAAAACAACTTTTTAAAATTAATAAATTAGAAAAGCTGCAAGTGCTGAGGTAGAATTGATTAAAAGAAATCAACCCAATGTTAGCAAAGCTCAAGTGGATCTTAGGTTTACTGTATAAAAATAAAAAGTAACTAATTGATACTATTCAGTTCCAAACAATTATATAAAATATCATACATCCTATGAAAACTAAACTACTATTTAAGGAATGTGGTATTGTGCTGGTGAACTGTAGGAAGAACAACTCTTCAAATTATTAGGAATATCATATTTCTTAATATGGGCCAAAACTTTCAAAATGTCTATGTATGTGCATGGTCAAATCACAACCTGCATGCATGCACAGAGCATTGCAGATGCACTTTTGAATACTTGGGCTATCTAGCTATTCACTTACCCGAATTTCCACTTCAGCATCGGTGGAAAGTGACCCTAGAGTAACAGTTACACTAGGGCATCAGAAAACAGAAGTGGAACAGAAAAGAAAAAGGAGAAATGGAAATAATTTATAATGAAGCTATATCAAGCTTATTACAATTATATACAAACATATTACGCTATCTACAGTACCTGTGGAAGTGAGCAATGGAAAAAGATAAATCAAGTACTACAAACATACTAAAACCACACTTACTTTATTTACACAATCATCAAAAAATGCAAGGCTTGCATCCTTATCACTAACAAAGGAACATTCTTCAATGAAGCGAATAAACATTTGAGTTTTGGTCATTGATGTGTAGAATTTTTGATGTGATCGATCTCGACTTTTTAAGAACCCTATAAAACAAAGTATATGCATGTAAGAACACTTTGAAGCAAAGGAAACAGCACGTATTTCACTAACAAATAGAATAATAGTTACAGAAGTTCTACAACAATTATCTTTAAAAACTAGCAATTGTTATGAAATGTCTCTATTATTGTGTTAACAAATACTATCAACTAGACACCTTTTCAATACTTTTTAAAAAATCTTTTCAGTACTGTTTTGCCAGTGGCAACATATCATTTTTGCCTACTACCATTACATCGTCTTTTGATTTTTTCCATTCAGCACAGTAACATGAAAATGTTTTCTTCTTCTTCATCACTCCAGTGAAAAATAGTTTTTGCATATTTTATTAGCTTATGATTAAAAATCAAGAATATGAATCTTTACCTTGTAGTTCAAAGAGGGAACTTGCATCTGTTGCTGTCTCAGAAGGCGCCTGTGTTATTGGCCTTAGGTACGACCTATAACCTTTTAATAATGAAGCCATGAAACAAAGAAATGCCTCCTGGATCTCCATATCTAACAAATGCAACTTCTTCCCCGAATTAAAATCATAGTCATTCATTGTTAATTCCATTAATGCATCTTCTCTTGGTCTTTGCTGCACTGTGAACAACAATAGTGTTAAAATACTCTCCTAGATCAAAAAAATTCTCAGAGTTGACCAAAGTTATGATTTCCTTCTTATCTTATTGGGTGATAAGTGAATCTACTATTATAATATTCTATATCGGATTTAAATAGAATAGTGAAGTATGATGATTAATTCAGCGTGACAGCTCACAAATCACTAGTCTGTGGGTTTTACAAGAGGCAAAGAGACAAACACATTTACCTTGTAAGTACAGTTACTATAGCAACAAAGACAGAATTGGTATGGACACTGTTGAGTGACATGCTAATAAAAAGGGTAGTTTATGGAATCCGTTGAAATGTATACAATTAGTTGGCACAATAAATGAGTTTTTAAGAATATGTTAATCACACATGTGGGATGCATATATATTTTAGAATGCCTTCTTTCCCAAAGTGCCAGCAAGAGATTTATTGACACTATATATACACACAAAACCATTGAAATGCATATGGCAACCATCAGGAGCACAGTACAGTGCACAACGAGGGTAGGGAGAAATGGGGGCACTTTGCTAAAGGAAAGTAGCACAAATCCCTACTCTTATGAAAGGTGCCTTTGGGTCTTTAGTGTCCATACAAAGCCATTAGGACCCTGATTCCCAAGGCTTCTCTGCTTTTCTTTCCCCCACTCACACAGAGTGGTAACATGCTAATGGTGCCCATATGGAACAGAAATATGGTTTCAATATTGTATTCTACTGTTCCAACACATTATGGTTGCAGCCATAGTCTCTATTAGAAACCATGCTTATATGAATTTAGACTTTAGTCTTGACAATTCAAGAAGGAATCCATTTTATTCTATATTATACAGACCGTATACGTATTTTAGAAATTGCTAAGAAAATCCTTTTCCGACTGTAAGGTTATATGTAACCATTAGGAAACTATATGATCTTCACAATAGTTTAATAATAGTTTAATAGTCTTAAATAATACATACTGCCATTCATGCAGCATGCTGTTTTTGTATATTCTGAACAATAGAAAACATTATTAATTTCTGATATCCTCGATCGTCAAAATTGGTTAAAATGGGTGTCTAAAATTAGGAACCTAATATATTTAGGCCCGAAAGTAAGTGGCCTGATTTTCAGAAGTGCTGAGCACCCACCCTAACTTTAGATGCCCATTTTTTAAGATTTTGGCTAAGGTATATTAACTTCTACAACATATTAAACATGCCTGCTTTGGAACGACTCCATCCCCTTCCTATTCTAATCCATGCCTTAACCACTTGCTATCTCTGCCAGTGCAATTTAGTCTTGTATGACTTTCAGCCACTTCTGCTTTTTAAGGCCCTCATCCAAAGCCCATTAAAGTCAATTGAAAGACTCCCATTGACTTTAATGGGATTTGGATTTGGTTTTAATTGTCAGGAACTTCAAAATGCTGCTAAGATTTCCCTCTCACTTCATAGAAGAGGGTCATATTACCTCCATCCTCCATCACATCACCTGGTTTCTTAACAGTTCCATTAAAAAATTTCCTTCCTGATTTTCAAAACTATGGATCCATATTGGTCCATATTACCGCTCTAACCTCATCTCCTGCTTGTGCACATCAGTCTTCTAAAAATGGTAGTTTTCAATGTACATAACATAGCTACCACAGACCCCAGCAGTAAAGCTTTATGCAGTCCCACTCATGGCCCTTGGCACTGGCTGCGTGGGAGGAGAGTGAGGGAGAAGAGTGGCAACAGTGTACACTGGATTTCAGCTATTGTAGTTTCACCACCACTACCAGCCTCACAACAGCAGCCCTAGCATAACCCTCAGGCTGCCCTGTCTACACCAGGGGCTGTGCAGCTGCCCCAAGAATACAAAAATTGTAACTGTCACAATAAAACTATACGCAGGAATGGCGCAATGGAGAATCAGGATAGTAAGCACTATTAGCTTGTGTGCCTCAAACTACCTCAACTGTCAGATAAAGGCATGAGGATAATTGGGTGGTCTGTAATGTGCAATCTGTCAATAGTTTTATAGGTCTTGGCCAACTTTTTGCTCTTCTGTCTCCCCTCCTCATGACTCTTCACTTATGAGATGTCCTTTCCCTAGTGCTTCATCCCTATTGATGTTTCCCCACCCCAAAAGCCAATTACAGTAGAACCTCAAAGATACGAACACCAGAGTTATGGACTGACTGGTCAACCAGACACCTTGAGAAACCGGAAGTAACCAATCAGGCAGCAGCAGCAGCGACCCCAAAAAAAGCAAATCTGTACTGTACCTCTATTGCATCTTAAAGGTAGGCACATCTAGGTTGCCTGTCCTCACCCCACCCCACCCGCACGTACAGGGCAGCCGCTTGCAGCAAGACGCTAGAACTGCCAGCCCAAGGCAGCCGGAGCCAGCCAGCCGGAGTAGGAGCAGCACTGGGGTCTGTACCGCTTTCACCCCTTCCCCCCACCTCCCAAGGAAGGGGATGGGCTGTTTTTAACCCCCCCCCCAC